CCCCCCTGACGCCCCTCCCGGCAGGCGGGGGGTGCTGGTGGTGGGGGAGGGGGACGCGCTGGAGGTGACGGTGACGGTGACGAACCGCGGCGAGAGCTCGCTGGGGCCCGGCGTGGCCCTGAGCCACCCGCCCGAGCTCAGCTACAGGAAGGTGCAGGTGCTGCAGGTAACGCCCGACAACACCCCAGAAACAGCCCCAAAATACCCCAAAATAAAAAAAAAAAAAAAAATCAAAAAAAATCCCCAAAAAACCCCCCCACAAACACCCAAAAAACCCCAAAAAAACCCAAAAAAACCCCCAAAATCACCCCAAAACCACCCAAAATCAGCGCCGCTGGCAGCCTGGGGGAGGGGAGGGAATAAAACACCCAAAAACACCCAGAAAAACCCCAAAAACCCCGAAACAACCCCCCGAAAACCCCCCAGAAAAAGCCCCAAAATCCCCCAAAAAAAAAAAAAAAAAAATCAAAAAAATACCCCAAAAAACACCCCCAGAACACTCCAAAAACACCTCAAAAAATACCCCCAAAATACCAAAAAAATACCCCCAACAACACCCCAAAACCACCCCCAAAATATCCCCAAAATTTAAAAAAAAAATCAAAAAAATACCCCAAAAAACACCCCCAGAACACTCCAAAAACACCTCAAAAAATACCCCCAAAATACCAAAAAAATACCCCCAACAACACCCCAAAACCACCCCCAAAATATCCCCAAAATTTAAAAAAAAAATCAAAAAAATACCCCAAAAAACACCCCCAGAACACTCCAAAAACACCTCAAAAAATACCCCCAAAATACCAAAAAAATACCCCCAACAACACCCCAAAACCACCCCCAAAATATCCCCAAAATTTAAAAAAAAAATCAAAAAAATACCCCAAAAAACACCCCCAGAACACTCCAAAAACACCTCAAAAAATACCCCCAAAATACCAAAAAAATACCCCCAACAACACCCCAAAACCACCCCCAAAATATCCCCAAAATTTAAAAAAAAAATCAAAAAAATACCCCAAAAAACACCCCCAGAACACTCCAAAAACACCTCAAAAAATACCCCCAAAATACCAAAAAAATACCCCCAACAACACCCCAAAACCACCCCCAAAATATCCCCAAAATTTAAAAAAAAAATCAAAAAAATACCCCAAAAAACACCCCCAGAACACTCCAAAAACACCTCAAAAAATACCCCCAAAATACCAAAAAAATACCCCCAACAACACCCCAAAACCACCCCCAAAATATCCCCAAAATTTAAAAAAAAAATCAAAAAAATACCCCAAAAAACACCCCCAGAACACTCCAAAAACACCTCAAAAAATACCCCCAAAATACCAAAAAAATACCCCCAACAACACCCCAAAACCACCCCCAAAATATCCCCAAAATTTAAAAAAAAAATCAAAAAAATACCCCAAAAAACACCCCCAGAACACTCCAAAAACACCTCAAAAAATACCCCCAAAATACCAAAAAAATACCCCCAACAACACCCCAAAACCACCCCCAAAATATCCCCAAAATTTAAAAAAAAAATCAAAAAAATACCCCAAAAAACACCCCCAGAACACTCCAAAAACACCTCAAAAAATACCCCCAAAATACCAAAAAAATACCCCCAACAACACCCCAAAACCACCCCCAAAATATCCCCAAAATTTAAAAAAAAAATCAAAAAAATACCCCAAAAAACACCCCCAGAACACTCCAAAAACACCTCAAAAAATACCCCCAAAATACCAAAAAAATACCCCCAACAACACCCCAAAACCACCCCCAAAATATCCCCAAAATTTAAAAAAAAAATCAAAAAAATACCCCAAAAAACACCCCCAGAACACTCCAAAAACACCTCAAAAAATACCCCCAAAATACCAAAAAAATACCCCCAACAACACCCCAAAACCACCCCCAAAATATCCCCAAAATTTAAAAAAAAAATCAAAAAAATACCCCAAAAAAGTTCCCTCCCAGTCCCCCCCAGTCCCCCCCAGTCTGTCCGTCTGTCTGTCCCAGTCCCAGCCCCGCTCGGGGTCCCTGCGCTGTCACTCGGAGCCGCCGCAGGGGCGGGGCCGGCGCACGCGGTGCCACCTGCAGCCACCTGTGCTGAGGGCGGGAGCGCAGGTGAGTCTGTGACGTCATCGGTGTCACCTGAGTGACGTCATCACTGTCACCTGAGTGACGTAATCAGTGTTATCTGTGTTACCTGTGGGTGTGTCACACCTGTCCCACCTGTCAATCTCACCTGTCAAACTCACCTGTGCGGTCTCACCTGTCAATCACCTCACCTGTGTGTCTCACCTGTAGCTCTCACCTGTCTCACCTGTCCGTGTCTCACCTGTAGCTCTCACCTGTCTCACCTGTCCGTGTCTCACCTGTCTCACCTGTCTCACCTGTCTCACCTGTCCGTGTCTCACCTGGTGACGTCATCGGTGTGACGTCATCATTGTTATCTGTGTGTGTGTCACACCTGTGTGTGTGTCACACCTGTGTGTGTCACACCTGTGCCACCTGCAGCCACCCGTGCTGAGGGCGGGGGCGCAGGTGAGTGACGTCATCACTGTCACCTGAGTGACGTCATCAACGTTATCTGTGTTACCTGTGTGTGTGTGTCACACCTGTGTGTGTTACCTGTGTGTGTCACACCTGTCCATGTCTCACCTGTCTGTGTCTCACCTGTCTCACCTGTGTGTCTCACCTGTCTCACCTGTCCCTGTCTCACCTGTCTGTGTCTCACCTGTCTGTGTCCAGGCAGGTGAGAGAGACAGGTGAGAGACGGACAGGTGAGATTGACAGGTGAGACAGGTGAGAGATGGGTGAGAGACAGATGAGCCCAGGTGAGCCGTCCCAGGTGCCCCCAGGTGACCCCGCCCTGTCCCCGCAGTGCCAATGGCGGCGCAGGTGGGCGGAGCCAGAGCGCGACCATCCCGGTCAGGTACCAGGTGTTCGTGGTGATCGACAGGTGAGCACGGGGGGGCGGGGGGGGTCACACCTGTGTGACGTCACCTGTGTGACCTCACCTGTGTGACGTCACCTGTCTCACCTGTCCGGCAGCGCCCCCGACTCCACGCGTTACCTGAACTTCAGCACGGGGGGAGCCCCGCCCCCCTCGGCCCCCGTCACCCACCACTACCAGGTGAGCTCACCTGGGTGACGTCATCGCTGTGACGTCATCGCCGCCCCCGGTGTGACCTCACCTGTGCGGTCTCACCTGGGCAGGTGAAGGTGCTGGGGCGCCGCCCCCTCCCGGCCAACGTCACCTTCCGGGTCCCGTCTCACCTGGGCCAGGTGCAGCTCTGGGAGCGCCTGGAGGTCACACCTGAGCAGGTAACGCCCAAAACGACCCAAAATCGCCCAAAACGGCCCCAAAATCCACAGAAATGGGCACAAAATGACCCAAAATCGCAAAAAACGGACCCAAAATCCACAGAAATGGGCACAAAATGTCCCAAAATTGCAAAAAACTGACCCAAAATGGCCCCAAAATCCACAGAAATGGGCACAAAATGACCCAAAATCGCAAAAAACTGACCCAAAATCCACAGAAATGGGCACAAAATGTCCCAAAATCGGCCAAAGCGGCCCCAAAATCCACAGAAATGGGCACAAAATGACCCAAAATTACAAAAAACTGACCCAAAATGGCCCCAAAATCCACAGAAATGGGCACAAAAAGACCCAAAATTGCAAAAAACTGATCCAGAATTGATGAAAACGGCCCCAAAATCCACAGAAATGGGCACAAAAAGACCCAAAATCGCCCAAAACGGCCCCAAAATCCCCTGAAATGGGCACAAAATGACCTAAAATTACAGAAATTTACACAAAATCGCCCAAAACGGCCCCAAAATCCCCTGAAATGGGCACAAAATGACCTAAAATTACAGAAATTTACACAAAATCGCCCAAAACGGCCCCAAAATCCCCTGAAATGGGCACAAAATGACCCAAAATCGCAAAAAACGGACCCAAAATCCACAGAAATGGGCACAAAAGGACCCAAAATTGACCAAAACGGCCCCAAA